GAACTTGAATATTTCGATTTGGTTCTATATTATATAAAATTTTTGGAATTTTTTTTAGTTTGTTTGGTTGCAATTTTAAATTTTAAATAACTAATATTTATCCTATATAATTTTCAATAAAAATATACTATTTTTGTAATAAAATATTAATTCAAAATATTATTTAAATAAAAACTTTAAATTAATCTTCAATTTCAAATTATTTTCAAACTAAAGTCAAACAAAACCTCGACCGAGTTCATCAAAACTATATAATCCGAATAGTCACCTCTACAATTACAAGATCCTTAATTGCACATTGGAAACTCATTCAAATGCAATTCCATTCTCATTCATCTTTTTCATCAAATCTCTTATAAATATTCAACCGTAATACCTTGAAAACCCAAAGTCATTTTAAAAGATATACAAATGCACCCTAAAATATTTGAATTTAGTCAAATGGTAAAGCCGGTAAAGTAATAATACTGGCCTCGTAGTCCTGCGCCAGAAAACAGCTCACCGTATCGTATGTACATGCCAGGTAAAGCTCGAGTGGCCGTTTTAAGAATAGTTTAGATCTAATATTCTATAAGATGACATAGCAATTTTTTTATAGAAAATTGTGATCACTATATAGTACTCTATCTGATGATCCAAATCTAGCTTATTTTATTTGTAAAATATAAAAAGAATGAGAATATATTTGAATGACGAATGTAGTAATTTTTTTTTTTTTAAAAAGAAGATTGAAGCAAAACTACAAAAAACAGTCTTTCGAACTAAATTTAATTAAACACACCATTTAAGGCTCAGATTATTTTTGCTTTTAAATTGATTTTTGCACTATTTATCAATAATTATTTTTATAAAAAAAATATTATATTTAATGTTTATATTTTATTTAAAATATTATGTCAAAAACTTATTTTTAATTCAAATTATAAAATCAAACTTTTATTAATACTATATCAAACACTTATTCTTTATTCAATTTTTATCGATCTCTCTCTAGCTATTTGTATTTATTTAATTAAAAAAATAGCAATTAAATGTATAATATTTTAAGAGAAACATGGTTGTATTATCCCCAACAAAAAAAATCCGAACATATTACAATTCCCTGACAATAAGAAAATAATCTCTCCATCATCCGATGAACTTATGTAAATTTGCTTGGATATGAAAACAAAAAAAGAATGATAATATTTTAATATTGAGGTGTGATAGGTAAAAAATAAATTAAATATATTATTAAATTTTTTATTAGAAAATGATGAAAAATGGAGTATGTGTTTTCTTTCTTTTTTTTTTTTTTTTTTTTTCCTTTTTTTTTTCTCATCTCTAATTAGACTTCATATTTATCGAAAATTATATATTTTTTTTATTTCGCAAAATATTATATATAATATTATTTAAAAAAAATTCAAAATTTTAAATTCAGTTAAAACCTAAAACTGCTCACACATCCTTAATACTATGCCCACATTGGCTGTGTTTATTTTTGTGTTTGTGGGGTTTTTTTTCATATAAAATGTATTTGATATGATGTGATATTTTTAAAATAAATAATACTTTATTTGTCTGTCTCTTTAGGTCACATTTACCTTTTACGTTATTGCATTTAACATTAAAAATATTTTTATATTTATATAATTTTTTGTGCAAATATCCTTCTGGTAGTATTATAAGGCACTAATAGAAGTATTTTTATAATTTTTTTTTTAAAAATTTTTACTGTGTTTTGATATAATAATTAATATTCAAAAGTCAACAAACAAGAAGTAAATGGACCCCTAGAGCTGGACGGAGGTAGTATATTTTTGTTATAAATAATACTCCCTCAGTCCCAGCTAATTTGTCTCCTTTAGGTTAGGCACGAAGTTTTAGGTATTGTGTAATTAGTGAGTAATTAAAAAATATATTAATAAAAATAATTATGATTTAATAAAAATAATCTCATGCTAAGATTAAGATGACTAAATAGTTTAATTAAAATAAAAAAATTAATAAATTATGAATTTTAAAATGTGATTAGAGTTGAGACAAATTATGTGAGACATACGAAAATAGAAATAGTTGACAAATTAAATGGGACGGTAGAGTATATTTAAAATACAGTGAAACCTAAAACAAATTAACAAGCTCTATACAAACTAACAAGTATTTATTCTTATGTTCATAAAACAAATTAATTTAAAACTTAATTTACAACTAATTTAAAAACCTATAAAAGTTCAAAGAAAAACCAGATTAACCATATGATAATTATATAAAATCTATGAATTAAAGTTTCTTTTTTACAATAAACAAATAAATTACTTGAACCAAAAGGGTGCTGGAATAGTTGATCCAAAATTCCCGCCCTGCAATAGAATATAAATATAAGCATAATAAAATAAATAAATAAATAAATAAATGCACAGTCAATTTATTTATTTAAGAATTTTGAGACAAAAATATGCATTTAATATTCTAAAAAGTAGGTTCGACAAGACAAGTCATACTAGGCAAATGTGTGATAGATGGACCTGGAGACTTAATCCGTGGCTATTGAAAATATCTTTTAGAGCTTATAGAGACTTAGTTATATGATTTCTAGCACAAAAAATTAATGTTGATTTTATTTTATTTTTTAAAAAAATAAACATATAAAATTAAATATATATATTAACACTTGATATGTAAATTGTTACGTCATTAGCTCATGTTAACTACATACAGTGAAATCATGTCAACATACGTAACAATAATCTCAACATATTATGTTTTTAAAAAATGTGAATTGTATATATATGATTATATATATACTTTAAAAACTAAAATAACAAATAATAATGTATACAAGACTCGAGAATATACTTATATATACATATATATATATATATATATATTAAACAAATATTTCAATAATTCAAGCCCCTGTCCAAGTAGAAAGTATTAATGTACCAAAATTATTAGATAAGACCAAAATTAAGAGAATGACAACTCTTCCAGTTAAAGAGCAGCAAAGTGAAAACTTGTAGGTTTTCATCTTAATTTTTCATTATTTTTTTTAAAAAGAAGGGTTAAAAGAAAAATCAATCGAATACTTTTTCATACTAAAATACTCCCTCCGTCCCACAAAGAAGTATTCATTTGCTTTTTGCACGTGATTTTAAAAATATTAGTATTATATTGGGATATAGTAGAAATAAAATAGAAATGACTAAAATGACCTTATTAGTATGTGTGATATAAAAGTAATGACATTTGTGTAATCTATTGTAAGTTGTAAGGGTATTTGTAATGTTAGGTAGATAGTACAGTTATTAAAAAAAGAAATAGATACTTTGTTATAGGACGGACTAAAATGGAAAAATAGATACTTTGTTATGGGAAGGAGGAAGTATAATTTTATACTAAAAATATTGCACCACTTTTTATTTATATCCTATCGAATAATTATTTTAATTTAAAATTGTATGTATTATTTAAAAATCAAACCCTACAAACAAATATTAAAGATAAATATTCTAAATACATTGTTTGTTTAGTTTTGATTTAAAATTGGGGTGATTATTTGAATATTTCTTTTATTAAATAATATTTTGATGCGATTTTTTTAGTAAAATAATATTTTTTATTCATAATTATGCATAAAATATAATAAAATATTGGGTAAATTATTTTTTTGTTTTGTTATCATATTAGAACTTTAAATAGAATATGTCTAAAAATAATTGCACAAATAAATTTTTTTTTGCTAAAATGATTCTCCGATTTTGAATTCGTTACGATGGCCAGCTATTGCTGACGTGACATTAACACAACTGACATGTCATCACCACGTCGATATCATGCTAGCGACATGTGAAATTTTTTTTATTTTTTATTTTACAAAATGTAAAATTGTATTTTATAATTTAGTCCAATATTGACCAAAGTCAACATTTCCATTTCAAATTAGAAAATTAAAAAAATAAAATAAAAATTTTCACGTGTTGCTGACATGACATTGACATGACAATGATACGTCAATCGCGTTAGTGTCATGTTAGCAACTACGGACCAGCGTGACAAATCTGTCACCGCAATACTATTGTAGCGAAATTTTTTTACTTTGGAACTATTTTTAAACAATTTATTTAAAGTAAAAAGTAACTAAAAAGTTGTTTAACCTCAAAGTTTTTATTTGAAATAAGAACAAACACACCCTGCCTTAAAGTAAGTAAGATAATAATTAACACTTTCTGACCAAAATTCCATTTCTTTTTATTTTCAAAATTGTACTCTCTTTCATCGAGCTCAAATGTATTAGTTTACTTTTGGCTTTGTGATCAAGAACTAATAGTTTTTTTTACACTAATTAAAATATTTAAAATTCATTCGTGATTTGGAAAATATGCATTAATCTTCTTATTTAAAAATTGTATGAAATTCTATCATGTTTTTCAAATATTACACAAATTTCTTAAAAATTAATGAAAAAATTTCATGCAATTTTTTAGAGGATTCGTACAATATTTTTTAAAATATGAAGAAAATTCATGCACTTTTTAAATTAAAAAATTTTAAACCACAACATTATAAGCAATTTTGCTATATATATAAACTAATAGTTTGAGAATAACATTATTGTAGATAACTAAATTTTGCTATGGATATTTGTGAAATTAAAAAAAAAAAAAAATGAAAACTCATATTAGTTTTTTTTTTAAAAAAAAAAAACTAAAATATATACTTTATGACAAATGCTTTACAAAAAAAAAATATATATATATATATAACTTCCAATAAGACGAGTATTAAATAAAGAGTTTTACTTACCGGTAAAATTGATAAAAAATCAGGTAATGAAAACCGATTGTCTTGAATGTTCCAGGAGGTGATTGGCATGAAAGCGGCGGGGTTAGGAACATTTGGCGGCAATCCGACGGCAGCCGTCGGCGGCAGCGGTGGTAAGAAGGGTGGCACCACCACCGTGGGGCGGCCAAGGGAGGCCATGAGGGACATGTTCAAACATTGTTGGAACATCATCATTTGAGACATATATAACTGTGTTATTTGAAGGTGTGTTTGTAACTCTTTTATGTATTCTATAATTTCATCCAGCATTGAAACTTTGTCCATCTGTAAAAAAACAAAAATTAAAATTAAAATTTAAAAAAAGTCGATACTTGAAAATTAGTTCATCAAACAAAAAAAAAAAAAAAAAGCTTCACATTATAGAATTAACTCATAGAAATACTATTTAGAGAATGACAATAAAATTTGAATATTTCAATCTCTTTAGTCCCAAGTCTCATATTAATATATACTCCCAAAACTATAGTCCCGGTTGTGTTTGGCACGAGATTTAATAAACATTGGTATTATATTGGTAATGGGTAAAAAATACGGGTAAAATACTTTTTTACCCTTGTGAGTGTATTAGTGTAAAAAGCTGGCAATTGTGTAATAATAATGAAAAAGTAAAAGTAGTTTTATAATAATATGATTATTTATGAAAATGAAACTATTATTTTAAGACGGATAAAAATGGTAAACATGCAATATTGTATTGGGACGGTGAGAGTATTATAATAAAAGTGATTATACGTTAATATTAAAATAGTCTTCATCTTTATATAAATTACAAATATATTATTATACATATTATTATTTAATATTTATAGTACAAAGGTTAAAATACATGAGTTTTTCTTACACATTTTCATTAGTTAATACACATCTTTTACTATAATGAAAAATAATATTTTTTACGAGGTTGGACCTGTGACCGTGAGGTTATGGATTCAAACCCCGACGCCTCAGGTCCACCTGCCACACATAGTTCCTCTAATGTGACTTTCCCGTCGAGCCTGGTTTGCAAGGTATTAGGTTCGACCGGAGGTTTACCCAGTGCGGGTAGAAGTTGAGGGTTCCCGTCAACAAAATACTAAAATTAGAATACTTCATACTTGATATAACAAAATAACTAAAATTAAAAATACAAAACATACAAACCCAATATAAAATAGTAAAGACTTAAATAAGTATATTATATTCTCACAAAATATCGAACACAATACTATTTAAATAAAAATCAAAATTAAACAAAAATATCAACTCATATACCGTCCCAACTTATATATTAAAAATTGCGTTGGTAATATCAAAAATTATATTTTGAAAAGAATATTACTGTTTATAAGATGATATAATATTTCCTCTGTCCTAACTTATTTATCTCTATAACTGTAGATACAAAAATTTAAGTAAAATATAATTAGTAAGTAACTAAAAAGTGTATAGGTAAAAATAATTATTGTATAATAAAAATAATTATAAATTAAGATTAAGATACCCAAATAAGTAATCTATGAATAAGAAGCCTATATATAGATAATACAAAACAGACTCGATAGACTCAAATTTAAGTAGTCTAATATGTGAATAAGATCAAATCTAAATATAAATCTACTAAATCTAAAACTGAACATCTAAAATATCTCAACATCCTCCCTCAAACTCAAGTGGTATAATAGAAACCAACTTGAGTTTGATAAGAAATTTGAATATAAACGAACAAAGAAAACATAAATAAAATTAGCAGTTGACTTTCCACCCACCAGAGCAAAAAACGAGATGACTCTCCACCGGGGTCGAAAATAAGATACTCTCCACCGGAGCCGAAAACGAGATGACTCCACTGGAGCCGTCGAAAACGACATGATTCCACTGGAGCCGAAAACCACATAACTCCATCGGAGCCGAAAATCACATAACTCCACCGAAGCCGACAACGAGATGGCCGAAAACGAGATGACTCCACCGGAGCAAAAAACGACATGACTCCACCAGAGCCGAAAACTAGATGACTCCACCGGAGCCGAAAATGCCAGGACTCTCTACTGGAGTCGAAAACGACGGGAGTACTCTCCACAAGGTCGGAAATAACGAGACTCTCGTTGCAATCAGAAACATGACATCGTAGACAAAATGAGGACTCAAGATAAAATCAAAATAAAAAAAAGAAATGGCTAGAAACTATAGAAAAAATTTCAAAATTGGAAGACCTTCGGGTACAAATGGGGTCTACGAAACTTGCACATGCATATGTGCAAATAGGGACGAGCAGGACTCGAACTCAAGACCTAGCCTAGGCTCTGATATCATGTCGGATGCAGAATGACCGTCTCACCTAAAAGCTCGAACCGTTAGAGAAACTAAGTCATTGTTCATATAACAGCAAACGGGAGTCCCAACATACTTAATTCTCTCCATCCACGTACAAAGTAAACATTTACTCTGGGCGTGATGTTTAAGAAATAATAATATTTTAATTATAGTGGGTAGTTAAAAGTAGTGTAATGACATTTTGCCCTTACTTTTTGGTGTAAAAGTAATAATGTGATGTAAATGAAGAGTATTGATAAAAAAAAAATGAAGTATTTAATAAAATGTTTACTTTGTAATTGGACGTTTTAAAATAAAAATATATATAATTTCTAACTAGACGGAAGGAGTATACAAAATGCGTCATACTCAATGTTAGATTATACGAATGACCGTCTCAACTAAAAACTTATATAGTTTGTTTCTTTTCTAAAAAATTTCAATACATTTTTTTTAAAAAATTAACATACTACACACACTTATTATTATTATATTATTTACACAATTCTCTATATTTTATATCAAAAAATTTTTTCAAACTAAAATACAAAACAAACACATCATTACTCTTTTATAGATACATATAATTTATTTATTTATCTATAAACGAGAATCTACCAAACGCTAAAAAAAAAAAAAAAAAAAACAAACAATCATATACTATAAAACAAATACACCCACAATATTTAAGGATTTTTTAAAATTGTTATTTATTAAAATAAGTTATAATGTTATTAAACTATTTTTCATTAATTTTTAAGTATTGTACGCAAAAAAAAAAAAAAAAAAAAAAAACATTTTTATTTGAGTTGATTTTGTTCACCCAATACCATTTCTTTTGCGATTCTAACAAAAAAAATAATACAAAATACTTTTTATAAGAGTCAAAAAAAAAAAATAAATAAAAGATAAAAAAAATCAAATATTCATAAAAAAAAAATTAAAATATTCAATTTAAAATAATATATTTTATATTTTTAATACAATTCTTCACTATATATACCAAAAGTTAATTAATCTAAAAATACTGGGTGAGCAAAAATGTGTACTAAAAACTCTAAAAATTTAGTGTTCTTTTTTTTTCAAAATTTATTATTTGAATTCTTATATTTCTAAAAATATATATATATATATATATATATGTAAGTATTAGTTTTTAAAATCTAAATATATTTTATTTTTTAACAATAATATTTTTATTAATATTATATAGGAAGACGTGTTGCAATAAAGGGGGAGTGGCGATATAGGTGAGGCTTCAAATCAACATTTAATTTAATAAACGACTTATGAATGAATTGTGTGAAAGGATAAGATCAAACGTTATTGTGTGGCCCTCCTTGCTACGCCCATATATACAAATACAAATACAAATACAAATACAAATACTTCTCCACTTCTTTCCTATCTTAATTAAACTTTCAATTTTTATGTTTTATTTAAATAGCAGTAATGTTTAATTATAGTGCTCCCTCCGTCCCAATTACACTGTAGACACCGTATTTTAGAAGAAGAAGTGTAATTAGTAGATAATTAAAAATATATTACTGAAAATAATTATCCTATAATATTAAATAATTATAAATTAAGATTAAAATAATTAATTAGTTTAATTAAAATAATAAAAAATAAAATTAAAAAATTTAAAATAAGATTAAAGTGTGATCATTTTCCAAAAAAAGAAAGTGACATGGTATGTGAGATAAACAGAAACGGCAACGTGAACATAGTATCTAGGACGGAGGGAGTAATATTTTATATAAAAAATATACTACTAAACTATACAAATATAAACATATTTTTAATATTAAATACAATGACACAAAATATAAATATAATCGTTAGAGGCGAAAGGAAAAAAAATATTTTTCAATATTTTTAAATAGTAAAAAATTAAATAAAAATTAAAAGAAACATACGAGGTTGATGATTTTTTATTTTTTTAAAATTATAATTTGAATATAATATTTTGTGCGGATATTACTTCTAAAATTTATATTTCTTTGGATAATATAAGTGATGTTATGTTAAAAAAATAATTATTTAATGCCTTTTTTTAAATTATATTCTCTCCGTCAACCTTGTTTAATTATATTTTCTTTATAATTTTACAAAAAAAATTAAATATGACGAACAAAGGAGTATTAAATAATTAGATTACCTAGACTTATTCTGTCCTTTTTCTTTTTTTTTTATTATTATTGTTTTAATATATAATCTTTGTTGTTTTGATACTATGCAGGTTAAGTAGGATTCAAATAGATAAATTAGACTATTTATATTAACAATATAAATATTTTTTTTCCGAAATCTATTTAAAATAACTCTAAGCAAATATAATTTCAATAAAAATATAATTTGTTAAATCAAGATTATTAACAATATTAATTATTATTTCTTTTATTGTTCAATTATGTGCTCAAATATTTAGATATAAATTTTAATAAAAATATACAATAATTATTATTTTTTGTTATTTATAATAAAATTACAAAAACTATGTATTTATTAGCTAGAAAGAAAACAAAAATATTTTTTTTAAAAAAAATAAACATAAATTTAGATGAAGAGTATTATTTCGAATTTTTTCAAAAATTTTTATTGTTTAATTTATCAATTTTCGATAAAATATTATATTAATATCTATTTTTTAATTTAAATAATTATACGTATAGCAATCATTGCACCTAAAAAAAATATTAAAACAATAATAATAATAATAATAATATAATAATAATAAATAATAATTACCTTGGTCGAATTTGGTACCATTTTCTGTAACGTCTTCATTCTTTGGTTAATTCTGTCTCTTCTTTTCTGTAGAAATACAAAATAATTATATTTATAATATTATATGCATATCAAATTTTTTTTTTTTTGAAAAAAATAAATAATATATAAATATAAAGAATATACTCTTTCTGATTGGCTATGGACTGCGGCTACTTTATTCCTTCTTATGGGTTTCCTCCGACTATATTTGAGGTCCGGGACTCTCACTCTTAACGAATCCGGACCGTTCATATTCGAGTACGATTGATCCGAGTGTTTAGATCCCAGGACTTCCCAGGAATCAGGATCCTCCACCGACGCCGTCTTGCCATTCTCCTCGCCGGAATTGGTGGTCTCCGGCGACCACATGGCGGCGGAGGTGGATCCTCCACCGCAGGAATCGTCCTCGCGAGTATCAAACGTCGCCGCCGCCGCCGAAGACCGGCGGCCGCGCTCGGCGACGCTCGCGCTCCCACTCGTGGTGTTGTCGAAGCGATAAACTGCCGCGCCGCCGGGGACGGTGGCGCCGCTGCAGGAACCAACGCGCGTGGATTCCCCAGCGTCGCACGCGCCGATCTCAGGGACGCGTTCCGGCGCGTGTAGTTCGCGGACAGGTACGAGAGCGTCCGTTGCCGCGTGAGCGCCACCGCCGCCGCCTGGCGCGTGGTGGTCGAACCAAGGCGCGAGATCGGCGACACCGGCGACCTTATTAGGGTCGAAACCGAAGGAGGATTGGTTAATGACGGACTCCAGCGTGCCGGCGACGGCGGCGGCGCGTGGCTTGTCAGCCAAACCGTGCAAGGCCAACTGTCCGTTTTGCCACGTCAGCTCGGCAACTTCATAGCCATTGAATCTGAGGAATGACGTTAATTAAAAACCAGCAGAAATGAAAATTAAAATTAAAATTAGAAATGGATGGATCGATGGAACAGTAGTAAGAAATCAATTACTAAATTAAACAAAGAATAGAATTACTGACGAGGTGGAGATATTGAAGGTGTTGTCGTGGAGATCCTCCCTGTAGGTTGGGACACACTGGCTCATGTCTGAATCTATGGAGGATGCGTTTCCTTTGGTTTGCTGGTGTTAGGGTTTGTAGGAAGGCCTGTCAAGAAAATTCTCTTCTTTTATTGCAGTCGGTAAAATATGAGTAACTTGGTGTGGGCACCGACACGCCCGTGTTTCACTATTTATTAATTTTTCGCGTCACTTGATTTTGTTCATTTTTCTATTTTCGTTCATTCTATATAATTTATTTATTTTTTTTAATTATAATTATACACTTTAATCACATTTTAAAATTTATAATTTATATATTTTTATTGTAGTTAAACTATTTAGTAATTTTGATTTTACTCTATAATTATTTTTATTAAATTATAATTATTTTCACTAATATATTTTTAATTATTTACTAATTATACAATATCTAAAACTGTGTGGCGAAGCTAAATAGGACATGGAGTATTGTCTTTTATTAGGGGTGTCAATTCGTGTTTTTGGGTCGTGTTCGTGTCGAGTTGAGCCATGAGGATAACAAAAAAACTGTCAACCCAAACCCGACCCGAACCAGAAATTTGACCTGAAACTCTAAACCCGAACACGACACGAATTCTTTCAGGTCGGGTTCAGGTTGACCTGAATTAGTTTCAGGTCTCCCGAAACCCGAAGAAACCCGATACGAACCCGACACGAAACAGACCCGAAAATTAAAAAAAAATTAAATTGGCCTAAAAATATCATTTTTATTTTTATTTTTATATTATTTTATATTTAAAATAATATAAATATTATAAATTAAAATAATAATAATTAAAATTTCAGGTCAACCCGAAACACAAAATCCAAAACCTAACCTGATTTTGATATTTCAGGTTATCAGGTCAACCCGAAACACGACCCGAACACGACACGAATTTTTTTCATTTTAGGTTTGGGTCGACCCGATTTTTTTCAAACACGAAATACCCAAACCCGAACCTTAAAAATTTCAGATCGAACGAGTTCGATTTTTCGGGCGAGTTTACTTTTGACAGCCCTATCTTTTATGCAAATCAATGTGTAACATTGAATTGTTAATTTAGTATTTTTGCATTAATTAATTTATTTTTATATTAGATACAACGGTAATATAAAAAATACTAATATTTTATTCTATTTTTATACATATAAAATATAATGAATTAGAGTTAATTTTGATTATTATAGGCTTTGTAGGAATATTAAATTTTTATGATTTTAATTAGATTCATAGTCCACATCGTATTTATAGATTTCAAGCAATGTAAGATTAAGATGTGATTTTCCACGGCACATGCAATTTTTCATCGGGATATAGTTTTTTCAAAAAAACCATGCAATTCTTCATATTTAATATGTGAAATTAATTATTTATTTAATTTTCTTTGACTGCTTCGTGACATTGAAATATGGATGGGACCGAATTGAAATATCTCTCGAAGCATTGCGTTATTCTGTATGTATACTTACATGTATCACATTAGAAGCCTCATTTTTTTTATTAAAAAAAAAAAAGATTTTAAAATAAATTGATATAAATTTATATTTATTTATTTATTACGGTTTGATACACATAATAAATATATTTAAAACTATATTTTCTCAAATTGTTACAGATAAATTATCAAAAAAAAATAAATATATTGATTAAATAATAATAACAATAATAATAATAATTGTTACACAAATGTAATAGCAAAAACTATCTTTAGTTAAGACTATATTGCTAGGACCGTGTACTTGATGCAAAAAATTAATATATTTTTTTTTATAGTATACATTTGCCTTAATTGACACATAAAATCGATGATCTTTTGTGATAACTACATTAATCCTTAAAATTTAATATATAGACGAATGGCCTTGAAGCGTTGGAGTTGCTTCTCGCGATTGTTGCTTTGTTGAATTTAGAGATTAATCAAATAGATGTCAATACGACATTTTTGAATAGTGAATCTTTATTCTGATAAATATCAAATAGAGTATCAAACATACCGTTCAAAATATAACCACGGCAGAAGTTGTCGTTATTCTCCCATTTACATCGCCTTCCTATTTGACGTAACCCGCGTGGGTTTGTATATTTTTCCCAGGTTGAAGAAGAATAACTTTAATCAATGTAAAAAATTCGAGAAAGAAAATAGATAAGATAAGATACAAATTTGATACCCAATCTAGTTGGTTAATAATCTCAAAAATTCAATCTTTGACCCAAAATGCTAACTATGAAAAAGAAACAAACCGATAGGCTTGTTTCCCTGCAAGAATTTAAAAGCCACGAACCAATAAATAATTCCAAAGACCCGATTTGAAAACAATGTGCAAGGAATCACTTACTCACACTTTGAAAGTAAACACAATGAAAAAAACAAGTTTTCAAATAAATATATTATGACCAAAGTTGATATGAAAATGGATACAAGAGCTTATATATAGACTAAAGGGAAATGAGACAAAACACTTACTACAATTAAATTGACGACACATTCTCATAGAGAATATATTCCAATATACATAATTGCTGCATGTTCCAAAAGCATATTATCAATATTACAATAATTGCAACACATTCCCAAAATAATATATTTCCAAGATTGTAATTAATGGTGTAGTACATCTCCAAAAAATGATGTAAGCAATGATGTCAATGCTTATGTAAGCAATGACATCATCACATGTCTTAAATTATTTTGATTTGTATAACTGCTAAACTCGGGCCGATAAGTCTCCATGCTTCATCTTTGTTTATATTTTTCATCTCGAGCTCTCGTATTAAGCTGGAAAATTGATCTTGAAGTTTACGAGCTCGGCTTCGGGTAATTAGTCCAAGTGGTTCGGGAGCCATTTGGATGTTCACGTCATCCCCCCTTTCTTGAAAATGTTTGTTGTTCTATGGAACAATATCATCGTCTCCTACATCATACAAAGTCAAATCAGCAATATTAAATGTACCATGGACTTGATACTCATATTGGAGTTCGATGCGGTAAGCGTTGTCATTCACTTTCTTCAAAACACGGAATGGGCCATCACCACGTGGTGTTAACTTTGACTTTCTTATCTCGGAAAAACGTTCCTTACACAAGTTCAACCAAACCCAATCACCCGGATGGAGTTGAACTTTCTTACGACATTTGTTTGCTTGCTTTGTGTATTGCTCAACCCTTCTTTGGAGTCTTGTACGGACTTTATCATGCAATTGCCGCACAAATTCCGCTTTCTTCCTACTATCAAGATTAATTTGCTCATTGCGAGGCAATGACATAAGATGAAGAGGTGTCAGTGGGTTAAAGTCATACACAATTTCAAACGGTGAATAATTTGTAGCCCTATGAATGGTATGATTGTAAGCAAACTCAGCATGTGGTTAGCATTCTTCCCAAGATTTCAAATGCTCTTGAACTAAGGTACGCAGTAAACTACCTACAGTTCTATTCATGGATTCAGTTTGCCCATCCGTTTGTGGGTGATGTGAAGTTGAAAATAGCAATTTTGTGCCCAATTTAGCCTACAAGGTTTTCCAAAAGTAACTTAGAAATCTAGAGTCACGATCAGAAAGAATGGTTTTCGGAATACCATGCAATCTAAGAACTTCATTGAAAAATAATTTTGCTACATGTGAGGCATCAGTGGTTTTAGTGCATGGTATAAAATGAGCAATCTTTGAAAAAAGATCAACAACCACAAAAATCGAGTCTTTTCCACCTCTACTTTTAGGCAATCCTAAGATGAAATTTATAGAAATATCTACCCAAGGGGATTCAGGAATTGGGAGGGGTGTATACAAACCATGAGGTTGAAAAGTTGACTTGGAAGATAAACAAATGGTGCATTTTCAAATAGCCTTCTTTACATCAACTTTCATTTTTGGCCAAAAAAAAATGTTCTTTTAACAAGTTCAAGGTCTTTGAAATCCCAAAATGACCCATTAATCCTCCCAAATGTGCCTCAGAAATCAATAAATGCCTTAGTGAACATCTTGAAATGCACAAACGATTTTCACAGATTAGGTACCCATTATGCAAATGATATTTATTGTAAGCATGCTTAAAACACCTATAAAAAATTTCATAAAAATCCAAATCATTTGAGTATAAATCTTTCAAGTAAGAAAATCCTAACAATTTAGATTCAAGGATAGCAACAAGAGTGTATCTTCGGAAGAGTGCATCGGCTACCACATTATCTTTATATTTCTTGTACTTGACAATGTATGGGAATGTATCGATGAAAGAGATCCACCTGATGTGTCTTTGACTCAAATTTTTCTAGGATTTTATGTGCTTCAAGGACTCGTGGTCGATATGGACAACAAACTTACGTGAGCGCAAGTAATGTTGCCATGTTTGGAGAGCACGAACCAAGGAATAGAGTTTTTTATCTAATGTGGAGTAGTTGAGGACTTCACCGTGTAACTTCTCACTAAAGTAGGCCACGGGTCTTTTATCTTGAGTTAGACCAGCTCCAACCCCTACACAATAAGCATCACATTCAACTTCAAAAGATTTTGAAAATTCGGGTAAAACAAGGATAGGTGCTTGTGTGAGCTTTTGTTTCAATGTATCAAAAGCATCTTGTTGAATACTTCCCCATTCAAACTTATCATCATTTTTCATGATGGCGGTTAGTGGGGCGGAAATGGTGCTGAAGTTTCGGACAAATCGTCGGTAGAAGCTTGCAAGGCCATGGAACCTTCGAACATCATTCACGCTCGTCGGTGTAGGCCATTCTTGAATTGCCTTCACTTTGATTTTATCCACACTAATCCCATATTTTCTTACAATAAAAGTCGCACTTCTTGCGGTTTGCAAACAACTTCTCCTTTCGAAGACATCAAGTACATCATTAACATGTTTTGTCTGTGCATCAATAGATTGACTATAAATGAGTATATCATCAAAATACATAACAAAAAATTTGTTAATGAAATTCCTCAAAATATGGTTCATTAACCTCATAAAAGTGCTCAGTGCATTTGTGAGTCCAAATGGCATAACAAGCCATTCATATAAACAAAAAGTAGTTTTGAAGACTGTTTTCCATTCATCACCTTTATTTATACGAATTTGGTGATACCCAATTTTCAAATCAATTTTGGAAAAGATCGTTGAACCACTCAAATTATCTAACATATCATCTAA